AACAAATCTAAATGTGATTTTAGCCTCTGCTAAAACATGTTTTAGCTGCATTAATTAAAAAAAAAAAAAAAAAAAAAGCAACATGGAACAGGAATTCACAGAACATTCACATGAGCTGTTTTGTTTGTTGGAAGTGTGCACCAACGAGCAATGTCAGCATGCAGAGAGCTAAGCCCTGTTAACACGGAAACTTTGTGGAAATTACAGGTAATGACAACAACCTCAGGAGGGAAAAACGATGGCCAAAGATATAATGTTATTGTGCAGCAGGAAAAAAAGAGATTTACCTGATAAAAAATAATAGGGCAGTGAAGAGCCTCTGATATATTGGCTGCAGAGAGCTCATCTGTACCATCAGTTTGCTGGACAGGTGCTCATCTGCATTCCTCTAAAGGCAGCGCTTCCAACCATCCTCATGGACACTGTGCTCCTTGGAATGGGTTTCAGGCTTACAAACCAACCTGTTATTAAGGATTTCGGTCCCTCTTCCCTCATGCACCCTCCTGGACAAGCACAGGGGAAGGGGGTTGGTTCTCAGTTTTAAAGACCTACAGACATGAGCTGCACTTTGATGGCTCGAGAACCTTCTGGTTCTGCTCCGCAGTTGAAGCTGTTCATGCTTGTGTACAGCTATTAAAAGTACTGCTCCGGATCTTTTCCATGAAAAACAATATTAGCAATTCCCTTGCATGCTTCCGTAAGTTTTAGGAGCCACCAGGGACGGCATTTTGTTCTCCCAACAATCCAGCAGAAGCCATTTAATGAAGAAAAACTCCCTTCAGAGCTGCTGCAGTCAATGGCATTGCCTGCACAGTGAAGTCACATGGAAATAATTGCATGAAATACATGAACAAAACCAAGTATCAAAATAAAACTCCTGTGCCAAAGGACAGGGCATTAATAACAGGGTGGAATATGGAATATTTGGCACCATCCTTCTCGCTGCATGCTGAAGGGTGTGACAGGTTAAATCCCTTCTTATTTAATTTATTGTGAAGCAGTTGCATTTGTTCTCCAGAATTAAAGGGTTAAAGTTATAAAGTTAAAAAAAAAAAAAAAAAAAAAAAAAAA